CTGTCTTATCTTCTGTACAGCCCTGACATACTGAAAAGCAGGTTGGATGTAATGGAAAGACCACCAGACTTACAATCATGAAATCTGACTGGGAGCCTTCTGAAATACACAAAGTTAGTCTTAATATTCTCATGTGTGAAATGTAAATAAAACCATCTTTAAACAGTTATCAGCTGAGGACCAAATAAAACTTGTAAAATATCAAAGCACATTTGAAGCAACCTCCAACATCTGTCACATGATGTTTCTTTCCTAATTCAGACACCCTTTCTCTGCTTATTCCTTTTTCCCAGAACACTACAGTCACAGACTTTTTTTTTCTTTTTTGTGTAAATTCAAGGGATCCAATTTTGCTACATGGATATATTGTGAAGTGGTGAAGTCTGAGCTTTTAGTGTACCAGTCACCTGAATAATGTGCATTGTACTCATTAAATAATTTCTCATCACCCACTCCTCTAGCACTCCCACCCTTCCAAGTTTCCAATGTCTATGATTACATACTCTAAGTCCATGCACATACCTTGTTTAGCTCCCACTTATAAGTGAGAATATGCGGTATTTGACTATCTGTTTCTGAGTTGTTTCAATTAAGATAATGACCACCAGTTCCATTATCAAAAAATCATGATTTCATTCTTTTTATGGCTGAATAATATTCCATCATGTATACATACCAACTTTTCTTTATTCTGTCATCCCTTGGTGGATGCTTAGGTTGATTCCACATCTTTACTGTCGTGAATATGTGATAAACAGACTAGTGCAGGTGTCTTTCGATATAAAAATTTATTTTCCTTTGGGTAGCTACTCAGTAGGGAGATTACAGGATTGAATGACAGTTCTACTTTCAGTTATTTGAGAAATCTCTGCTCTATTTTCCAGAGAGGTTGTACTAATTTACATTCCCATGAACAATGTATAAGCCTTCCATTTTCTTCACATCCTCTGCAAAATCTATTGACTTTTGACTTTCTAATAATAGTTATTCTGATTGGTATAATATAATGTTGTGGTTTTAATTTGTATTTCTCTTATGTTTCATGATGCTGAGTCACAGAATTTCTGCCACTAACATTTGCCAAACCATGTCTTTTTCCAGATATGAAGAAACAAAAAGGGCATAAACTCACCTTCCCCCTCCATATGAATGTCTTTCTGAAGGGTCTACATTTTTAAGGCAGTTTCTCTAAGAAAAATCCAGAAACATGAGAAGCCCTAAGGGCCCAAGATCTCCACTTTATGATGAATATGCTTAGGGAAAATTTGAATAGAAAAAAACAAATCTGACAAAATATTGATATCTATTTAAAAACAAAGAACTATGCAAATAAACAAAATGAAGAGCCTAACTCCTTGAGGTTTTATTTATTTATTTATTTATTTATTTATTTATTTATTTATTTATTTATTTTGAGACAGAGTCTCACTCTGTCTCCAGGCACCAGGCTGGAGTACAATGGCACGATCTCGCCTCACTGCAACCTCCACCTCCCAGGTTCAAGCAATTCTCCTGCCTCAGCCCCCGGAGTAACTGTGACTACGGGCATGTGCCACCACACCCAGCTAATTTTTGTATTTTTTAGTAGAGACAGGGTTTCACCATGTTGGCCAGGGTGGTCTCAATCTCTTGACCTTGTGATCCACCTGCCTTGGACTCCCAAAGTGCTGGGAATACATTATTTATTTATTTATTCGTGTTTTGAGTCTGGGTCTTGCTCTCTCTCCCAGGTTGGAGTGCAGTAGTGCAATCACATAGCTCACTGCAACCTTGACCTGCTGGGCTCAAGCAATCTTCCTACCTCAGCCTTCAAAATAGCTGGGACTACAGACTTAGCTATTTATTTTTTATTTATTTTATTATTTTTTTAGTAGATATAAGGCCTTGTTATGTTGCTCAGGCTGGTCTTGTACTCTTGAGTTCAAGTGATCCTCCACCTTGGCCTCCCAAAGTATAGGAGATTGATCAGAATGGAGGGAAAAATAGGAAAGATATAAACCTTCTTGGAAGGCCAGAAGCTTTTGCAAAAGCTTTGGTAAGGGGTTATGGCTGAAGGCAGCCTAATCCTCTTACCTTGAGCTAATAGCAAAGAGCAGATAACAAGGGAATACAGGCGAATTTATGTAAATAGCTTTTTTACCTATTTGTCTGGAAACCAATCTTTGATCATCCACACACAAGACTGTTCTCTACCTGGGGTTTTGCAATGTTAATCACCCAGAAATGGTGTTTGCTTTAGACCTTTGTCATTAAATCTGTTCTAAAATAAGTATGACAGCCTCTTGGGCATTTGGGGACTGCACAGCCGGACTCCCTCTTCAGGGTATATAAGTCTCTGCACGTCATGGGGTCCCCTAGCCGCACTCTCACAGGAAAATCACCTGTGTCTGTACACTTCTGCCATCCATCACTCAGCCAGAGTCTGCAGGTTAGATTCGGCACCAAAGTGTTTTGATTACTAGTGTGAGTCACCATGCCCAGTTTCTTGAATTTTATTTTTTGTTTGGTTTTATTTTGTTTTTGTTTTTGTTTCTGTTTTTGTTTTTGAGATAGTGTCTAGCCTTGTCACCCAGGCTAGACTATAGTGGCACGATCTCAGCTCACTGTAACCTCCGCTTCCTGGGTTCCAGTGATTCTCTTGCCTCAGCCTCCTGCATAGCTGGGACTACATGCACCTGCTACCACACCTGGCTGATTTTTGTATTTTTAGTAGAGACAAGGTTTCACCATATTGGCCAGGCCGATCTTGAACTAACTCCTAATCTTGTGATCTACCTTGGCCTCCCAAAGTGCTGAGATTATAGGCATCAGCCACAGTACCCAGCCTGCCTCGAAGTTTTTAATACACCATGGCCTCATTAGATGGAACAGAAGAACTCAATACTATGAGTCATGATTCTGCCTCCTGTTTTCCCTCCCTTTCTTCCCTATTTATTTTCTTCCTTCCTTTTTTCTAATCTACAACTAGACAATATAATATTAGTTTTCAACTGTTAAGGCTGCCAGGCAGGTTAAAATTTAATATATGTGTGATTTAAATAGTGGTAAAGTAGAAGAGAATCTTCAAGTAAATAGCTCAGCCGCTGGGTCAGCCTATTGCATTGCAAAATGAGCCTTGAACTTAATGTGAGAAGATCTGATGCTCTACTCAGGCTTGCTGCTGTTGCACTGAAGAGAAGTTCACTCAAAGTAGCTTAGGAAAAACAAGTGTCATGGTAGAGATATTGAGATCATGCAAGAACTGAACAAGACCTGTAACCCAGCTGGATTGGATAATGGACTGGAAAATGAAGCCAGAGATTTGCTCTGGAACGAAAGCTGATCTTGAGCATAAATTGGAATCCCTCAAGAGTCAGGTAGGTAATGCAATTGCTTGAAGCGTCAAGGTGTGAGATAATAGAGGAGCATGAGGCTGTGACGCACCGGCTAATGCCAGACTTACCTAAAAACATAAAAATCACATGCTTTAGATAGAGAGCTGGACAAACGGTATGAACCCACCTGCTTGAGACTTTTAGCTAAAGGAGTTACTACCCAGTTTTCTCTCCCAGGGCCATTACAATGTCTTCTTTGTGGTCTTTTCCAGTCTTCTCTATTGAACAATCTGCCTCCTCTGTCGATTCATTGTTTCTGACCCTTAATAACCTTTGGGGCCATTTTTCCTTTTGGCTTTCGAGGGCTTGTAAATATCTATATATAATTCCGTGTATTCTCCTGTGTCATGTTGGGGTTTTTAATGTGTTTGTGTATTCTGTTTACATTAAAAAGAAGAAAAATAACAAAAAAAAATAACCTTTGCTTGCGTAGCGTTTATTTGAGATTCCCTCTGTTTTCTACAGGATGACATTTCTCAGCATATTTTTATCTCCTTTTTCTACTACCACTAATAACTGCATTCTTCTCTTAGTTTCCAAGAGAACATTCTGATTATTATTCTAGGGTTACTGATTACTCTAGTTAATCAGTAGCCCTAGAATAGGGTGTTCACCTCTTGGCCCTTTCAACTGTAGGTAAAAAATTCAAGTGAAAATACTTGAGGTTCATGAAATAGAGAATGTTAACCCAAGAAGCAAACTGTGAAACAGATTCAGGACCTCTTTGAGTGATGAACAGTTGTATTCTGCCTATAGTGGCAGCGAGGGGGTGGTCCCACTAAAAAATATTACCTCCACTTCTGTGTGCCGTGCACGGCCTATGCAACAGCATGCAGTGGGCCTGGTAGCGTCCCTGCTAAAACTGCAGAAATAAAAATTCACCAGGTTTGTTGGCTTGTGTCTGTAGTTCCAGTAACTCAGGAGGCTAGGGTGGAACATCACTTGAGCCCAGGAAGTTGAAGCTGCAGTTGGCTGTGATCATGCTACTCCACTCCAGTCCTGGCAACTACACTTTGCCTGTATCTAATAACAAAAAAATAAAATAAACGATAAAATAATAAAATATAATGGTCGTGTCCAGTGACCATGACCTAACTGAATTGAGTACTTGATTCTGGACTGTTTGGGGAAAACGTTCACAGTTCTGTGTCTTGCTTTCTTCTGCACAAAAATACTTCAAGTGTTGTGTGTTAGGGAGCAGATGTTTGACAACAGCATTCCCAGTCTAACTATCCTAATGACACTATGAAAGGATCCCGTCCCTCTGAACATGGAAATTCCATAGAAATATTATACAGCTATGTGGACTATACAAAAGGATTCAGGGAATGGAAAAATAGAAGTGCTGCAATATTAATAACTGTAATCCTTAGAATAGGCATTAATATGTAATGGTAAAGGATAGTCAACAATAAAAAAAACTACGTAGGATTTGCCAAATTGGGCAAAGTACTTCAGTCTTCCACAAAGTACACGTTACTCTCACAGACAATAAAGTAAATGAATGATATTATTAACCCAAAGATGAGGATTCAGATGTAACATGACTTTGCCACAATGAGTTTTCATTTTAGTAACCAAATTATTACAGTGAAAGCAAAAGTTTTTATTCTTAAAAAAAAAAAAAGCTGGAAAATGGGAACATAGTCCCCCACTACCACAAATTACGCTGTCGAGTCTCCCACATCTGGGGGGGTCACAGGGGTCAGCACATCTGCAGAGCAGTATATAAGCCTCGCCCTGGGAAAGCCACCTTTGTGATCACGGTATCTCCCCTACCAGATAAGTATAAAAGCTTTATTCCAATAATTATGTGAATATCAATTTGTGTTCAGTAAGGATTATTTTATTTTGTGGTACTCAGAGAATAAATAAACTGTAGTAGTTCCACAGTACAGATGAACACACATTGTTGAATGCCTGCTATGGGCCAAGAATTTTTCTAAGTACTGGGCTTGAGATAAATAGACACAGTCCTTGGACTCTTGAGCCTAAAGTGCATTTCAGTCTATTTGCAAATAAATTTCTCTTTATCTTGTAGAGCCAATTAATGGATCACCAAATAATATTGTGGGTGTAAAATATCTTGTGTAAAATACTTTGTTGGATAATCTAGCAATACATAAATGAGTTATAATATGGTTCCAATTACCAAAAAACATACATTCAAATTAACAAAATAAAACAAGTACATGAAAAGTTAAGTAACAACAGGAGTATTATTCACAAAATTATAATGTAGCAATAGCTTAAATCAGGTTAATTAATCACCAGTAAAAGTTTTGGGCCACGGACGTAAAGCATGTCATTTCCACATGAATTGATCTGTATGGCTCTCTCCTGCAACATTTCTACCTGCAAGATAGGTGCAAAGTACAATTTTTTAAGTTTCCTTATTACTCTTGTTATTCTTTAGATATGTTATATAGACAAGAAACACAACTATGTGAACACTCATTTGTGACACAGGACAAATATATATCTAAAACTCTAATACTGTAAATGGCATTTCACCAGTCATTTTAAAAAGTCTGGAATTATTTATCATCAAGAAAAAACATGCTTCTACATTGATAAAGTTTTTCTAAATTATCAATCAGAAAATGTAGATCCATGGTAATTTGATATTAGTGCTCAAATGAAAGATATAATCAGCACAAGGGGAAATTCTATGTCAATTTATATTAATCATTTCTAAACCACATTTTTAAAAGTAAGTTTATTTGTTATGTATAGAGAGAAATTACATACTGCATCATGTCCATGATGACTAAATTTATTGAATTTGGCAGATATAATCAGCAAATTTTATTTGAAATTTTTAACAAAAAATCTAACATAAGAAAGAATCTAATGTAAAGGATCTGTAGTCCAAAAATTTTAGTCTTTAAACTTAATGACAAATTCATGAAATTGTGGAGATAACGTATCTTAAAATTATGTCAACTGGACTTGAGGTTTCTTAATATGGAATGTGGCATTTTGAATATTGGCAAATCACTAGATCTTCCTATCAGACAAATAATACTGAAATGAAAAAGAAAAGAAAATTATTGCCTATAGCTAGTATTTTTTTAGTACCTACTATGTGCTAAGTATTATTCTAGGTATTAGGTAATGTAACAGGAAAAAGATATCCTTTTCTCGGAGAGCAGTGGATTTGGATAAAGAAAGAGTTAAATAAATAGGTAAATAGTGTGCAGAGTTTGTTAAGGGTGATTGGCAGTTTTCATGAAACAAAATTAGAGCAAAGACAGAAAGAAACGGATGGAATAAGCCATGGAGGTATAGGGGAGCATTTATTGTGCAGTCTCAAGCGAAGCAGCATGGTGGGATCTTTGCAAGCCAGAGCTGGAGGCCTGGATTAAAAGAACGGGGATGGGGTAGTAAAGGGAGAGGGGCAATGGCCGTCAGAGCTTGGAGGCATTTGCTCTGAGTGAGAAGGGGAGTCATTGGTGTGCTTTTGAATATAAAGTGGCCAAAATGTAAGTATTTTCTCTGTGGAACCACATTGCCCAAGAATGAAAGAGAGAAAGCTGGGGTTTATTGAGAGGTTATCATAATAGCCAAGTCAGAAAATAATGGCTGTTTTGAGCAAGATTTAGTAGTAAAAGGGGTGGGACGTTCACATAACCCCAATCCATTTTGAAAATATGTATATTAACTGGCTCTGTTGGTGATTTTCTCATAGGATACAAGAGAGAGGAGTTGAAAAAGTGTGACCTCAAGTTGCAGGTCCTGAGTATCTGGAAGAACGGAGGTGCCATTTGCTGAGATGAGGAAGATTTGGGGATGCACGGCTCCGGGTGGGAGTGGAGAATTCAACCTTCGAACATGTTAACTTTCAGAAATCTGAGAAGCCCAGGGACAGGGCTCAAGTATACATAATCTGAAATCTAAGGGATGAAATTAAACAGGAGATGCAAATGTGAGCATCTTCAGTAGAACTGATAATATTTAAGGTCATGAGACTAGATCTTCAAGCACTACATAATATTTATTTAAATTCCGAATGTGCCAATATCAAGCTGTTTTGGTTACTGGAGCCCTAAGTATTAGGCTTAATACCTGGGTGATGAAATAATTTGTACAGCAAACTCCCATGACACAGTTTACCTATGTAACAAACCTGCACTTGCACCCCGAACTTGAAAACATTTTTGAATGTTTTCTAATAATTCTGTATTATAATGTTCATTCCTTTATGAATGGTATTGAGTATATCAGCTGTAAAGCAGTCATTTATAACTTGTGAAACTATATTTTATTTCCAATATTTTCTTGTAAAAATAACACTGTGATAACCTTAAAAGAAATCAGCTTAAACATTTAAAAAGTTCAACACTTAAAACAAGAAAACAAAGAAAGTTGCTATTCATATGTTTTCTTCTGGTCATCCTTTTGCAGATTTTTTCATAGTTGTAATTATTTTGTTGACAAAATTACTTCTTTTGTTGTTATTGCTCAGATTTATATCCTAAGAACATTTTTACTTTATGAATCATGAAGGGACATGTCACAGTGTGATTAACTTCACTTATATACCACATTTTGTATCGCTATAAAAAGAGTGTCATTGTTTCATTTAGGGGCCATTCCACAGGGCAGTGTGCAGATATCAGCAGTCTGGCTCTGTGACGGTGAATTTTATGTATCAGTGGATTATGGGGTGCCCAAATATTTGACTAAACATTATTTCTGGGTATGTCGGTGAGGTATGTTTCCAAATGAGATTAACATTTGAAATAGTAGTAGATTCAGGAATACTGATCGCCCTCTGCATCCAACACATGGAGGGCCTGAGTACAGCAAATGGCAAATGAAGGCAGAATTTGCCTTCCCTTCTGCCTGACTGCTGAACTGTGACATCAGTCCTCTGGGCTCTGACTAGGATTTACATTAGCAATGCTCCTTGTTCTCAGGCCTCCAGGCTCAGACCAAGACTCCAACTCAGATTCCAAGATTTATTCCATTTCCAGTTTGAAGACAGAAAAATTGTGGGGTTTCCCAGGTTCCATAATTGCATGAGCCAATTCCTCATACTGAATCTGTTTGGTTTTTTTTTCCCTGGAAAACCCTGACTAATAAAGGTTTATACTGAGTAGGGAGACAAAGATAAAACAAATGTGTACCTATGCCGTATGAGCTTCTCCACCAACAGAAAAACAATGGCCAGAGGATGTGACTGTAATTGCCAGCCCTAACTGAGCTGCCACCTAGCTTGGGGAACACCAGCAAATCACTGGACTTGCTCACATTATTTAAGAAAGGAAGGGCTGGACTAAATCAATCATTTTGATACTCCTCTAAAAAATACACGTGGGACCATCAGAGTGTAAAAAGGCAAAGAAAAGAACACAGCTTTTAGGGCAATTTAATTTCTCACTCTTGGTGGAATTTAGTAGTAAAATTCTGCATTATTTGAGGAACCAGTGAGGAAACACCTGCAGAAAGAACAATTTGAAACCCATTAAAATCTACATTCTCTACGGTTCTGTTTCCTTCTACAATAGTGGCATTATGGCTTTAGAATTCTGAGTACTACGCACAGTGATTAAGAACATAGATTTTTTAACCAAAAAGACTTACATTCAGATCATTTCTTCACAAGTAGGCATTGTGCCCGTTACCTCCACACGGAGCTCACAGAAGAGTAAGCACAGGGTTGGCTGATACATGGCATGAAGACATGGCAGGGCAAAGCCAGAGCTGTTTCTTTGTGGGAACACCCTCCTTTTCACCCCAAGTAGGCAAACATCTCTGAAGTCATAATGGCTCAGCCAACGCCAGCAGACTTGAGAGAATTCAATGTTTGCAAACCAGAACCTTCTCAATGATATGTTTCATCATTAATCTAACAGTCCTCAAATCTTTCCAACAGCAGGAATGTTTTCTTCAAAAGCAGAAATCCATCAAATCTCTTTAGTACTGAAAATGAACTGAGGACAAGACTGGAGAATGAGAAAGCAATCCTTTACCTCTCTGCTTTTCCCAAAAAACCCTTCCACTGACAGTGAGGCCAGTGGTCACTCTCCGACACCACTCTACTTTGACTGAACTGTCCCACCAATTGTAAGGACTCTGAGGAAAGCTCAATTATCTCTCATGGGAGCTACAGTGGAGTAGAAATTGTCCATCCACAGCACTGCCACTGATACTGATAGAGGAAATTATGCTCAGCGCTGTTCTATATCATCAATATTCTGACCTCCTATCAGGTTATATATTTTCATTCAAACTTAACAGCCATCAGTATTCTTTCTCTTTGAAAATGTCTTATTAGCACTTTAAAAAAAATGAGACATAATTTCTGGGTTTCTTCTTATGAGTTGATTAAAACTCATTCATATTCATGGGGACATAGAAAGATTAACTTCATGTACCTTAAAATAGAGTTAAAGAAATAAAAAGCTTTAATTTATTTCCCAATAAATACCAAACGGAGCAGTTCTTTTTTATTAAAATAGTTTATATGACATCAAGCCTAACAAATTTCTGAAAAATCACATAGAAAATTACAGGAAAGGATAACATATCCAATTGTTCATTAAATTGAGGTTCATTTTCTTATTGTCCCAATTGTAAATATTTTTGTTCCTTTTGATTTTAAAGTCTTCTGTTTTTTAAATTGATGAGCTAAACTGAGTCTATTTGTAAGTAGGTAGAGTAGAAATCTTAAATAAATTCAGAATCATTCCAAAACCTTTTCCAACTTTAGCTCTCAGCAATTAATTCTTTTATTCTCTCTAGCTCTCCTTTAACCAGATGCCTGTATCAGAAAATGTATCAG